AATTGAGACAGAGTCTCACTTTGTCATTCTCAATGGCACCATAGCTTATGTGGCATCACAGCTCACAGCAACCTCAAACTCCTAGGCTCAAGCAATACTCTTGCCTCAGCCTCCCTAGTAGCTGGGACTAAAGGCACTCGCCATAGTGGTCAGCTTTTTTTCCTGTTTGTTTAGAAGGCTGGGCCTGGGTTCGAATCCATCAGCCACAGAACATGGGTGGTGTCCTAACCACTGAATTACAGGCACCTAGCCTAGCTAAAGCAATCTGTCTGCTTGGCCTCTCAGAGTGCCAGGATTACAGGTATAAGCCACCATGCCCAGCCATTTCTCATTCATTTTTCTTTCCTTTTTTTTTTTTTTTTTTTTTTTGAGACGAAGTCTCATTTTGAGGCTCTCAGTAGAGACCCTTGCATCACAGCTTACAGCAACCTCAAATTCTTGGGCTTAAGCGATTCTCTTGCCTCAGCCTCCCAAGTAGCTGGGACTATAGGCACCATAATGCCCAGCAAAGTACTTTTCTTTCTTTTATTTTTTTGGGACAAAGTCTCACTTCATGGTCCTTGGTAGAGTGCTGTAGTGTCATAGCTCATAGCAACCTCAAACTCCTGGGCTCAAGTGATCCTCTTGCCTCAGCCTCCTGAGTAGCTGGAACTACAGGCACCTGCCATAATGCTGGGCAATTTTTAAAAAACAAGGTTTTGGGCGGCTCCTGTGGCTCAGTGGGCAGGGCACCAGCCCCATATACTGAGGGTGGTGGGTTCAAACCCGGCCCCGGCCAAACTGCAAAAAAAAATGGCGGGGCATTGTGATAGGCGTCTGTAGTCCCAGCTACTTGGGAGGCTGAGGCAAGGGAATCGCCTAAGCTCAGGAGTTGGAGGTTGCTGTGAGCTGTGTGATGCCACGGCACATTACCAAGGGTGATAAAGTGAAACTCTGTCTCTACAAAAAAAAAAAAGAAGAAAGAAAAAACATAAAAAACCCCAGAGTCTCGCCCTTGCTCAGGCTGATCTCGAACCTGTAAGCTCAGGCAATCCACCCACCTTGGCCTCCCAGTGTGTTAGTACTTGTCTTTCTTTCTTTCTTTCTTTCTTTCTTTCTTTTTTTTTTTTTTGCAGTTGTTGGCAGGGGCTGGGTTTGAACCCACCACCTCTGGCATGTGGGGCTGGTGCCCTACTCCTTTGAGCCACAGGTGCTGCCCAGTACCTTTTCTTTTCTTTTTTTTTTTTTGAGACAGAGCCTCAAGCTGTCCCGTTGGGTAGAGTGCCCTGGCATCACAGCTCACAGCAACCTGCAACTCCTGGACTCCTGGGCTCAAGCGAGTCTCCTGCCTTAGCCTCCCAAGTACCTGGGAACACAGGCGCCTGCCACAATGCCCGGCTATTTTTTGGTTGCAGCCATCATTGTTGTTTGGTGGCTAGGCTGGATTCAAACCCGCCACCTTAGGTGTATGTGGCTGGTGCCTTAGCCACTTGAGACACAGGCGCCGAGCCCCAGTACTTTTCAATTGGCAAAAATAATCAGTTTTCAGAAAGTTTTTGTCTAAATTTTTTGTGTAATGGAAAAGCCTACTCAAGGTTTCTTTCCTTTTTAAAAAACAAATTTTTTGGCTGGGCGCGGTGGCTCACACCTGTAATCCCAGCACTCTGGCAGGCTGAGGTGGGCGGATTGCCTAAGCTTAGGAGTTCGAGACCATCCTGAGCTAGAGCAAGACACTCCGTCCCTAAAAAAATAAAAAAAAAAAAATAATAATAGCCACGCCTTGTGGCGGGCGCATATAGTCCCAGCTATTAGGGAGGCTGAGGCAAAAGAATCGCTTCAGCCAAGAATCTGAGGTTGCTGTGAGCTATTATGCCACAGCACTCTACCAAGGGCAACAAAGTGAGACTCTGTCTCAAACAACAACAAAATTTTCTGTTTTTCTAAATTGGTATTTGATTAGTAGGAATTATTTGTGTAGTAAATATGTTACAAAGATTTTTCTAGTTTGTCGCTTTTTTTTTTTCTTGGAGACAGAGACTCACTTGTCACCCTGGGTAGAGTGCCCTGGCGTTACAGCTCACACCAACCTCAAACTCTTGGGCTCAAGCAATTCTCTTGCCTCAGCCTCCAGAGTAGCTGGGATTACAGGCGTCCACTACAACGCCATCTATTTTTAGAGGCGGGGTCTTGCTCAGACTGTTCTCCAACCTGTCAGCTTAAGCAATCCACCTGCCTCGACCTCGCAAGAGTGCTAGAATACAGGCGTGCGGCACCGCGCCTGGCCCTCCGTCGCTTTTTTTTTTTTTTTGAGACACAGCCTCAAGCTGTCCTCCTGGGTAGAGTGCTGTGGCATCACAGCTCACAGCAACCTCCAACTCCTGGGCTCAAGCGAGTCTCCTGCCTCAGCCTTCCAAGTAGGTGGGCCGGCTACTTTTTGGTTGCAGCCCTTATTGTTGTTTTGGCGGTCCTGGGCTGGATTCAAACCCGCCATCTTGGGTGTATGTGGCTGGCGCCGAGCCTGTCGCTTACTTTTTTAACTTGCTTTATGCTAGCCTTGCGGACAAATTGATCAAGATTTTATGTGTTCTGGCTTCGCTGTAGTGTTAAGAAACTCTATTTAGGACTTCAGAAGTATACCGCGTATTTCCTTTCCCTTCAGATAGTTTTAGGGGTTCATTTGTAGCGTTTACATTTTTAATCCACCTGGAATGTATTTACGTTCTAGGCCAATTTCTGGCTCCTCTGCCAGAAAACAATCAGGTGTTGCTTAGCAACCTCCACTGGGATTGGCGTTCCGCTTCTTTTCAGAGAGGAAAAACAGCGGCTCTCCGTTTCAAGTTGACGTAACCTCAGAGTGTTGCCTAGTAACGTCGTTTCTGACAATGTGATTGGACTCTTCTCCAGTCCCACCCACCCCCCATCCTCCAGTGCCAGAAAGAACAAAACTAGAAACTTAATCTCTTGGTTAGAAAACAAGAGCAGCTTACGCGTTGCATAGCAACCAGGTCTCCCGACGCGCCCTTTGAGACCTGAGTCGGAAACAAGCGCCCCGCTCAAAGATGGCGACCGCTTCTGCCCTGTTCAATTTATTTTATACTTGATAGTCCTGACGATAATTCAGTTTTCTCCATATAGCCTCAGAAGGGGCTCTATGGGCCCTTTCTCAGTCTTCCACTCGGCGTGTGTGAACGATGGAGATAAAATAAACGCTCTCTGAATGCCCCACACAAATATGGTCGCCGGTGCGGTATCAGCGCCACGAAGCCGCCCGGCGCGGGTTCGTGCGCAGCGCAGGCGCACTTCCGCCCATTCCCCGGTAGCTGCTGCGGCGGCGGTGGTGGCTGCTGCACAGGGCATGGTCCCGGGGTCAGAGGGCCCGGCCCGAGCCGGGGGCCTGGTGGCCGATGTGGTGTTTGTGATCGAGGGTACGGCCAACCTGGGACCCTACTTCGAGGGGCTTCGCAAGCACTACCTGCTCCCGGCCATCGAGTGAGTGGGATTTCTGCGAGCCCATCCCCACTCTCCGACATTAGTTTCTCACAGCTCCTTGTCTGACCCCGACTTTTCACCTGCGACCCACACAGGTATTTTAATGGTGGTCCTCCTGCTGAGACGGACTTCGGGGGAGACGTAAGTTCTGGGGCTACTGAGTCTGAGGGAGGAGGGACTGACCGCCAGGCCTTCCGGATCTGAGGGAGAAGGAGCTGGGGGCCCGGACTCCTCAGTCTGAGGGAGGAGGAGGGGCTGGGCACCCGGATCCCTGAGTCTAAGGGGGCCGGAGGGACTGGGGGCTAGGCCTGGGTCTGAGGGAAGAGGAGGGGCTGAGGGTGGAGGAGGGGTTGGAGGTCCGGACTCTTGCGTCTGAGGGAGGAAAAGGCTGAGGAATTCTTGGTTCTGGAGAAACAGGAAGCTGGGAGCCATGATTCCTTGTTTAAGGGAAGAGGGAGTTGGGAGTCCCGATTTAAAAGTTTTTCTGTTCTCTTGTCTCCCCCAGTATGGGGGCACCCAGTACAGCCTGGTGGTGTTCAACACGGTGGACTGCGCTCCTGAGTCCTATGTACAATGTCACGCTCCCACCAGCAGCGCCTATGAGTTTGTCACCTGGCTCGATGGCATTAAGTGAGCTTTTCCCCTAACTTGGGGCAGGTTGGGGGAGTTTGTGAAGGACAGGGAATGAATGGTTTGAGCTGTAGCAACCATTCCTTCACATTGGGTGGTTGAGAGGAGTATGAGGGTGACTGTGTTTTTGCCCCTAAGGCACTTCTGTGTGCTTAGCAATATAACCATCTGGTTTAGAAGCAGAAAACAATTCCCATTCAGAGGCTTGGCAGAGTTCCAGCAGCCACCTGGTATTCCATGTGTGAGTCATCCCTTTCTGTCATCTATTTCCCTTTCTGCTTCACTACTTCCTTTTTTTCTTTTCTTTTCTTTTCTTTTTTTTTTTGAGACC